GTACCTTGAGCCAAGGTGAAGCTTTCCATAATGTCCCACTATTTTCAGTTCACCTGATTTTAGCTTCTTTCTCTTATATACCAGAAGAGCTACAAAAGAAGTTAGTTTAGCTTCTACTCTTAGTATATCACCAGCACGCTCATGTCAAGTGATTCTCCAGATTCTCTTAAATTGAGTGCCTCCTAACAACTGACTGGCAAGTTCCACGAAAACATAGCTCTAAGTTGTACGTTTTAGAGCCCCTAACACTTATGGCTTAATTTTGTTTTTTTCAGTTTTGTTTGGTTCTCTCTTCTCCAGCTATATAACTTCTACAACTCAAAATTCTCTGCTCAAGTCAGTAACACTCTCCCAAAATCACAAACATGACTTCGAAATTTTTAAGAAACTATCTAAGGAAAAAGATGAGCCTTCCCCTGTTTCTTACACTCAAGGGTTCTTATTCAAGTCTCCTCAATACCAATGAAAAAAGCGTATGTTAAAGATAGTACAATATATTCCACAGAATAGCATGAGGGGAATTTTACAAAAAATTGTAGTCTCTTATTCCAGAGAAAAAGTTGTAAATATAAGTGAAGAAGCCAATGAGAAAGAAATATGGAAATTCTTTTCTGTAAAAAGCAATTCCAAATAAGTGACTTATGGTCAAATAACTAAGATTCAAGGGGAAGAAAGTAAGTTTGCAAATAATAGGACAGATGCTGTTAAATCATCTCTAAATTGCAATTACGTATTTTACGTATACACTTACTTGCACACATAAAATTGGATTTACGTATAGCTTAGAGGTGGCCCTGAATCACAGGGTTTAAATCTGGAGTCAAGCTTATATCTGCAGACCCATAAAGCTGGGGAAGCAGGAGATTGAACGTAGGGATTTTTGGTCTCATTTCCTGTACAAAGCAAAGTACATGTGATTTCAAGGAACAGAATAAGTCATATAAGAAAGAAGATTCAAAGACATTTCACTTTAAGTCACAGAAAAGTATATCTAAAGTATAGAGTAAAAAAATCTCATCATTTGATCACATCATGAAAAAATACAAGCTCTAAAGCAATGAGAGAGATTCACAGATTTGCAGTGTCAGCAGTACTAAAATAATTAAAAGACAGACCAAGGAAAAACAAGACAAAAAATAAGAAGTTAAAAATATTATGGCTATTCTCTGAATATACAACATATATCAGATTTACAGCTTTTTAGCAAATATTAATAATTAGATTTAGTAAACATATTAGTAAACATCTAAAAAAATAGGAGATATGTATCTAAATTAATATAAATCAGCTCCTAGATGTCATTGTTGCAGCTGAAATATCACTTAATACAGAACTTCCCTAATTCTGTAGTAGAAAAGGCTGTGTAAAGCAAAATAAACCATCTAAGTAATACAAATTCTGCTCAGTTTTAATGCCTCAATGCCAAAGCACAAAGACCTCTGAGACTGTAACAAAAAAAGACAACTAACTACACTGAAGGGTTATATACAAGATTCAGGTTCTGACAGCAGGTGAGCACAATCACCTCAAAGGACATTGCAATCTAAATCTCATAACATAAAACATCATATACCTCTTTCACAAAGGAAGATTCTCTGTAACTCCTATCAATGTTTGCCTCAATACTAAAAACACTGACATTTCATATAGTTAACACATTTCTAATTCTATGGGGAACAGCTGTATGTGTTCTATATATATATACACAAAAAATTAATTATTGTTTTTTAAATCTTACAAAGATTTTATTTTCTATGGCATTTCACAGCAACAAATTTCCAGGTTAACTACACCTATATAAGAAAAAAAAAGTAAAACTTCCTGTACCTGTTTTGAAAGCACATCTATTCAACTTCACTGAATATTTAATTAGTAGGACAAGCATATTTAAAGTGTAATTTATTTTCTTTATAGTATTTATTATCCTTATATATCTATAATGTATCGTCTCTCTAAATGAAGAAATGCAGTTAGTTCTTCCCTGTATAATTTTTTCAGTACTTCTAGTAATTCTTAACCCACTTGCAACATTTTCTCAAATATAGCCCTATTTCATAAATTAATAACACAGTATCATTTTTTTCCTATACAGTGTTCTTACCCCTCTTCTCTTACTCTCTGTATTTTCATAGATTATACACCAGGTTTACAAACTTCTGTATTTAGAGTTAAAACGTGCCCTGTGTAAGGCTCCATTTCACAGTAAGGAACCGCCAAGATGCCAGCCTGATAAATTGAAGTAGCCAATACAAATGCACCTATATAAATATATGCAAACTCTTCCACCATTTTCTAACCAAGAGACTCCCAAAACTTTATTTTTCCATGGGATAATCAACTGTATTTCATGCACTCTGCACTTTTTTTTTTTTCCATAAACAGAATAGCTGTGAGCAGATAAACCTAGTATGCAGATAAAGACAATATGAAACATATTCTGTCATCCAAAAAGAATGAGAAAAATAAGTCCAGGCTTATGTGTTGCAGTTAGTCTATAAAGATAGCAGAAAAATTCCTAGTTGCCAACAGTGTTTCAACGCTACTGCAAATTTCACTTTTTTATGGTGTATCTATTTCATGATAGATAAAGGCCACCTCCAGGCTGCCAAAACCAAAAACTTAAGTGAAATATAAAATAAAAAAACCTACTTCTTTACGTGTCACTCAAAGTGCTCACACAGTACTCTTGGTCACTGTTCACCCAGGAAGAGGTGTACAAGGCAAGGCCTCTGTTCCAACCAGTGCTCCATGCAAGATTCACTTCTGTTGTACAGAGCTATGAAGCAGTTTATTTAATCTCCACTCATAAGATTCAGGGACCCCATTTATATAATACATTATTATAATGTGAAAATTATAAGGCTTTTGGAATGGTTTTGGAACAGCCAGGCATGAAAGTGTAGAAAGCTCATGGGCTAAATTGAATTTTTTATTGACAACTATATAACTCATTGCTGTACGAGTCATTAATGAAAATAAGCCTAATCATTAATCTTGATAACTGAAAAGAGTTTGAGACTGAGGCCACAAAGAATAAACAGACACCTCATAGGCAAATTACTATAAGTAGATTTCTCTTATTTTAAAAGTGTACACAAAAAAAGTGTGTATACTTTACATGTATTTTCTTCAAGATAGCATCTTTGCTTATGTAGCTCTACTTGGTGTTTCTAGATATGTATTACTCCTTAAATTAATGTAATTATGTTGACCATAAAAACTCATGCCACTGACATTCTGTACTTATTAATTTCAAAGCAATTTTGTATAAACTTTTACAAAAACATCAAGATTCTGAACGTGTCATGCTCAATACAAATGTGTCATCTCTACCACTCAGGGATAGCTGCCTTATCCAAATTTCATTTGGTTTCATGTCTCCTTCAACTTGAAAGCAACGAAAAAGAAAAAAATATGATCTTTGTGAATTAAGAAGCCTCTCCAATTAATGTGAAAGTATAAAATCTTATCTGTTTTTGTTGTACAATCATACTTAGAGAGAGAATGAAATCTTTAACTTAGTCCAGCTTTAATTACAACAGAGTGTATGAAGACCATTACTCATTATCAACCCAGTATTTTTAAATCTAGACGTATCAGATCCCAGCATATTTTGATTGGAAAAATAGGGTGAGAGTTCTGTATCTACAAGAGTGATTTAATTCAGATAACTGGTTAATTAAACTATGACTAATACAGAAGTGGAAACTAAGCTTTTAAAGGAGCAGGGTCCATGAAAAATAATCACATTTCTATGAAAAGGCTCCACCTGATACAGCAGAAAAAGCTGAAACAAGTTGCAATTATTATTACTACTACTTCATTTAACATTGTGAATTCTGTGCAGCTTGAAATTCTTTTTATTGTTTTGAAAAATTAAATGTATTTTAGTAGGTATTGAGAAGATAGGTTGTATCCTTGCATTTTCCCCACAGCAATTTCTTTAAGAAAAGCCTTAGCAAAATTTTAGCAGTTATCTTACCACATCACAGATTGTAGGATAAGGTTTGAAGTGTCTTAAAACTTCACACAATTAAACAGAACTTTACAATTCAAGGAATCAACAAAATAAAACTAGAAATTAAATAATGCCTATTGAAAGGATGCCTAAATCCGTCTCTTTAAGAATACTTGATTTGCTCATATTTCAAATGCATCTCTTATCTCTATGAAACAATATACAAACATTAACACAACTCCCAGCTGTGGGAAAAATTGAACTTGCAAATTGCTACAATTTTACCAAGACACTCCCCAAATCCAGTGTAGACAAATCCACATCAATACTCTTCAAGCCCCTTTCTGACAATTTGATTTCAGTTTACATGACCCAGCCAACAGCCGCTTCTGAAACTCATCATTCCCGACTTCTGAGTTTATATGAAATATCTTATAAATTCACAGCATATAACATTTCTGGTATGTAGTTTCTAGAGTTGCCCCTGACATGCAGCATAGACTTTCAACTCTGTATTCATCTACCTTAAATTGCTAAACCTTCTTGTCAGGTCTCCGCAGCTTACACTTCCAAACATTTGCAATTTTAGACACAAAATGGGGGGTGGGAGTGTTGTTTCCGTTGTGTTTACCTACAGGTGTTTACCATTTGAAAGCTGTGCTGTAAAAAAATACCTTTTGGGAGACTATACCATTTCTTGAAGCGCATTGTGCAGCCTGGCTTGGCACTGGATACAGGAATATTGACGAAATCCTGGCTGATAAAGCCAAGAACCCAGGACACCCCCTAAACAGGGGAGCTGCAAGATAAACAACAATTATTTTGAGACTCTGAGTAAAACCACCAGCTCAGCCGCAATGGGCCATCACGAGTGGCCGTGCACTGCTCGCGTCTCCGCGCCGAGCGAGAATTTAAGTTGATGAACGTATCGCTGGCGCCACCTGCGCCACTGCCGCCCTTGCAGGAGGCCGGAGGCAGCGGTCCTTGGCGGGGGCCAGAGGAGCACAACCGCACCGCGACCCAGATCCACCTCGCCTTCGGGACGGAGGGAGCGTGGGGGCACGGGCGCACCGGCCCTGCGGCTCCGAGTAGGGACGAGGCGGGACAGGGCCCGCGCTCGTCTCCGTGGCAACGGAGCCGAGGCGGCGGCGCGGCGGCAGCGTCCACCCGCCGGTCACCTGACCCAGCCCGCCGGTCACGTGATACGGTCTCCATCGTCGCCATCTTGAAGCGGTGGCCGGGGGTGAGGAAAAAAAATTATTTTTTTCTTCATTAAAACGCAGATAAAACGCGGAGCGGGCCC